CACCCTTAGTGTTTTGCCTTGGTGTGGTGGGGTCAGACGGTATGCAATTCCCACACTGTGTCTCCAGTGTTGTCCCCTGTAGGATATGGGTCAGTGAGGGATGTAGGATATGGGTCAGTGAGGGATGTTGTGTCTCCTAGTGGGGCCGGCCATATGGTCCTCTCTGTGCATTGACTGCTCTGAGCAGGGATATCGTCCTCAAGGTTTGGTGGGCCAGGATGTGCTACACTCTCTCTTCCTCCACCTTCATTTGTTCCCATGTGCTCTGATTAAACATGTCCCTCTCCTTGAGCTGTAGCTTCAGTGCTGTCCTCTCAAGTAAATTCTTCTGGGAGGACAGACAGCTGTCCATGTATTTGGTATTGGGGCTGGCCTGCACCCTTACTTCTAAGGAGCATTCTAGCTATACATCTTCCAAGACAAATTTGTTTTTTCCTTTGGCAGTCCATGAATATTCTTTGGGAGCATCATAATTCAAATACATTGATTCTTCTGTCTTCATTATTCAATGTCCAACTTTCACATGCATATGAGAAAACTGAAAATACAATGTGCACCTTAGTCTTTAAAGTCACATGCTTGCTTTTTAACACTTGAAAGAGGTCTTGTGCAGCAGATTTACCCAATGCGCTGTGTTGTTTGATCTCTTCACTGCTGCTTCCATTAGCATTGATTGTGGATCCAAGCAATATAAACTCTGTGATCGTGTGTGTGTGTGTGTGTGTGTGTGTGTGTGTTGCTAGCTGCCATCACGTTAGTCCTGACTCGTTGAAAACCAGCTCAAACCTATGTGCAACAGAATGAAACACTCCAATCCTGCACCATCCTAACAATCATTTCCATATTTGAACCCATTATTATAGCCCATTGTCAATTTATTTAATTGAGGGTCTTCTTTTCATTCACTTTCTATTTTATGAAGCAAGGATCAAGTCCATCTTGATAGCATATCCAAGTACATGAGATGAAGAGTCGGCATCTTTGCTTAGAAGAAGAATTCTAGCTGTACTTCTTCATTTGTTTGTTTGTTCTTCTTCGTTTGTTCCTCTAGCAGTGTATGGTATATGAATATACTTCACCAACATGATAATTCTAGTGCATCCATTCTTCTTTGAACTTTGGTCTTCTTCACTTTGATGCACTGTGGTGACTTGTGTTGCTGTTATACTAGAAGCTCTACCAGCAGTATTTCAAGGTCCAGTAGGAACACCCAAGGTGCTCACATTTCTTCCAGTCTAAGAGAGACTAGGTAGAAGTATCTCTTCTGAAATAATGGCTAGTGAAAACCTTGTGAATAGCATTTATCATATAAATATATAGAGAGAGATTTTTGAGGAATTTGCTCATAAAATTTTTAGGATTAAAAAAAAATTAGGATTGGTAAAATCCATGGGCCTGCCAATAGACTGAAATTCGCAGTAGTAGTTTTATGTCCAAAAATTAATCAGATGATAGGACAAAGGAATTCTAGAAGGATATCTATATATAAGTCTGGGAGCAAAATCTTCCCTCCAAAAGTTTCCAGTTTTGCTTTAAAAATTTCCAAGGTATGAAAAGCCCAACACACATTATGGAAGGTAATCTGCTTTACATAGGTCTATTAATTTAATCACAGGTGATTATTATAGCACCTAAACTAGTGTGTGATTCATCTCTTTGAACAAACAGCTGAACACCATAGCCCAGCCAAGTTTGCATGTTTACCATCATACTAGCTATGGAGTCCCTCTGTAGAAAAGCATACAATCTTATTAAATCTAAGATTAATAATGTTCAAATAAACTATTTCAGGGGTCTCTTCCAGACTCAATACACCATGTGATCCAATGGGTTTTGGGGGGTGTCTTTGAATATACCTCATAACAAACATGCATTACTGAGACATGGATTTTTTTTGGCCCCCCAGGTTGAGGCCCTCCCTGCTGTTTCTCAAACCCTGAAACCACAGAAGAGTAGGGTCGCCTTCTGTGCAACTTGGTTCTCTTTGTTAAGGCAGATGTCCCCATCCATCCCTTAGTTTAAACTTTGTATTCGGGACCTCTTCATCTCACGTACTTTGAACGTGTATCAGGAGAAACCAGTCTTTGAAAAGGCACATCATGGTTGGTAAGCCAGAGGGACCGTCAAATTGAGGAAGACCTTCACTGAGATCAGTCCATCCAGTCTGCCACAACAGTCTCAAACTTAGGAACGGTTGTGAGGATGGAGGCGGAATACTGTGTTTTGTCCTGTTGTACATCGGGTTTCCATGAATGGGAACCACTTCAATGACACCTAACAACAACAACAGCTTTCAGAACCCTTGGCCTCTTTCCTGTGCCTATAGGGAGCCTAAAGAGAGATGATTGGGAGCATCCTATTGATTTTTAGTATACTTGATCATTCTAAACTGACAGTAGCACAGATGAATTCAAGAGAGTGGAAAAGTAACCACAAATTGAAGAAGATGTGTGTATGGATTGGGATAACAGTTGTATGAGCCCCTAATAAAATGTTAAAAAAAACAAAACAAAAAAACAAAAAAAACAATTAGGATGGTAAGATATGGTGTCATGAATGTATTGATACGTTTCTGCAGGCCTGCGACTGGAAAAACTAAGCAGGTAAAAGTTCACCACTACCAACCACTCTGAAAGGGATCTCATTAGAATATTCTGGGTAGTGTGGGAGAAAAATATGGGGGGACAACCCAAAAGCATAAACAACACCATGCCTACTGGTTGGACAGCGACTCTGACAATGAACTCACCCCCATGTTAGAATGATCATGCATGTAAGATAAAAGAGCAGCATTCATGCCAGCACAAAGTACAGAGGTTAGAAAAGAAGGAAGAATGGAAACATGAAAGACGGAGGAAACAGGATCAATGATGGCACACCGAGGGCACTACAGTGGCTACATTGAAACAAATATAGAAATATAGGTACTGGATTCTACCTTGAACATTTGATTAATTCACACTGACCTTGGAAGTGAAAGACAAAGTGAAAGCTATGGCCACAAATTTAATTTTCAGATATCTTTTTCCCTTAGATACACATGCCAAAGCAAATATTTTTAAAAATTAATTTTAAGTATTTTCAGTATTTCTCAATTGAGGTTCCAGAAAGATAATTCACTTGATTCTTTTTGTGATGAGGACTGCATCTTCCCACTACCCCCAAAGAGCACCTGAAAACATAATGCTTCAGACGTGAGCTTGTAGGTATGGAGAATTTAATTCTCGGCAGATGGTGTGAATCTGTGATACAAATTTTCCTCTAGCAGTAACTGGGAGAAGAGCCACAATTCATGGCTGCCAGAGATAGGGGCTTGTTTTAATTACAAATTAATTGTGCACATAATGATGTATAGGAGCATCCTCCATGAACAGAAAAACACTTGTGTGTGGTTGAAAAGAGTCTCCAAGACTTAGCCTTTTGTTTATTCACAGGGGTGATGGGCGAATATGAGCCAAAAATAGAAGTGCAATTCCCAGAGACGGTGCCGACTGCCAAAGGAGCGACAGTGAGGCTGGAATGCTTTGCCTTGGGAAAGTAAGTTCTGCTTTCCTTCTCCTCCTCCCCCTTCCCCCACCCCCCTCCAGCTTGGGCAGGTGTAGAATTTTCTTTGCATGGTACACAATGCTCATTCAGCGGTGATGGAAAAACAAGTCCAGTCGTTCTTTTTGAAATTCCGTGTGTGCATCTTTGTCTCTGCCCTCTCACAAAGCGAGAGGGCCGTGATTGCCGTAGGAGGATTAGCCTGCCACAACTGACATGGCCACAAAGCAGAGAAGAATGGGCAATTGTGAAAAGGCATTTTCTTCTATTACTATGACCTGGAATAGGTACGCAGTCTAACCCAAAATGACAAAAAACAATAGCCTTCGTTTGAGGTTCAGTCAAAGTATTTGGAAAACTATGGGCTTCAATTTTGCCCCACGTTTACAGGTGATGCATAGAACTTTGCTTGAATTTCTTTTTAAAACTTTTGTCTGTTCTCCCCCACTTTAGATTTTCTTGTGCTTCAGTGAGAGGTAGGGAAAACCTAATCTAGTCTACAGGAGTCTGGATTTTCCAGTCACCCAAACATTGCCCCAACTTTATTATTCTGTGGGTGGATCAACCTTAGATAAATCTAGTTGGGAGTAAATATTTTTTCATAGAGAATCTATTGGAGTGCATAAGAAGATAAAATGCACATTGATTGGGGCATTTTATTTGACAGTAACCAGCAGAAAGGGTTGACATAAATAACATAAACAATCATTTAAAATAAGTATGTTTAGATTGTGTATGAATTTTTGGAAAAAATGTAATTGTTTCGTTGTTCTGAGAGTAAACACAACAGAACATGTACCAATTCGATAAATTTTACATTTACAGTTCAGGGGTATTAATTATATTCCTTGAACTGTGCAACCATTTTCACCCTCCTTTGTTGAGTTGTTCCTTCTTTGTTAATGTGATCTCTACCCCTTCAGTTCCTTATCGAACAGCTCTAGTTGCTATTTGATCCCATATATATAGTTCTTAAAATAGCACAGTGCCACAATGCTCAAGGCAGACATACTAACTAAGATGAAGTACTTTTTTTTTTTTTTAAGAATTTTTATTTTAAATTTAAAGTTAAAGATGATAATAGAATTGAAAACAGAAATACACACGTGCACAATTCCACTTTTCAGGAAGCACAGAACAATCTAGAAAGAAATTCAACAAAAATACAGGCAATCCGTCTAAATGCCACCACACCAGTGGCCGGCATCCAGATGGGCCAGTAGGAACTTCCTCTAGGACCGAGCATCCCAGCCGCCGAGACCTCCTGAGCCGGTAGACAGCACCAACCCATAACAGGTTTCTTGTCCCGGACAACTTCTTAGCTTCCCCTGCCCCTAGTTTTGCTCATTCTGTGCCCTGCCATCTCTAGGGTTCTCTTGTCTTATATTTCCTTTCCTTTCTCTTGTTTTAAGGAGCCCTGGTGTTAAAATGGGCTGAGCATTGCGCTATAACCTTGCAGCAGGTCTTCTTGGCCCTGTGGAGTCTCTACAACTCAGAATCAAATTTGTGGAATGAGTTTGGGTTGGGTTTCGCGCGCGCTGTGTGAGTGTGTGTGTGTGTGTGTGTGTGTGTGTGTGTGTGTGTATGTGTGTGTGTGTGTGTGTTCTGGCTTCCTTTTCCCCCCCTTTTTTCTTTCTTTTCTTCTACTTCTATTCTTTTTTCTTCCCTCTTTTACTTTATTTTACTCTCTAGCCCTCATTTTTCTTTTGTTTTACTTTCTTCCTCTTTTATCTTTTTCTTTCTTGGACTTTTCTTTTCCCTTATTTTTAATTGTTATTTCTTCTTGTCATTGTTTGGATGCTTCCCCTCTCTTGATTTTTGCTTTGTTTGTTTTTATTATTTTTACATTTGTTTTGGTGAGTGTGTTGTGAGACAGAAGGTGTTCTTCGATTTTCTTTTGTGTATTTTATTTTTCTTTGCCTCAGCATTCAGGAGATGGTAATCATGCCCACACAGCTCAGCCACACCCACAACTCTTATAAACCCACCCACTAGATGAGTGCCCCCACCTGCTCCTGCACCACCTTATAAACAATGACCCAAACTTCAGACTCACTGCCATCGAGTCCATGCTGACTCACAGTGAGACTGTAACTGTTCACGGGAGTAGAAAACCCAGTCTTTGTCCCGCTGAGCTACTGGTGTTTTCGAACTACTGACCATGAGGATTGCAGTCCAGCTCACCACCACTACACCACCAGAGTTCAACACATCAGGATGACCTGTCCTAAGTCCATATATTCTCCTGTGTCTGAATGTGCCTGGGGCAAGAAGAATGATTCTTAGCTTACCCTTGTAACAGTAAGTAATCTAATCTCTTATACTTTTTGTGTTTTGCAGCAACCATAAATGAAAGATTTTCCTTTTGTTCATTCTGGTTTTTTAGGTGTAATAAAAGGCTTATATTGGTTCCCATGTTTTCAAACCATGGCAACATAAGCTATCTTTACTTTGATGCAGAACAACACAATAGTAATATTTTTATATTTCAAAAACATATGTAGCCACATTAAAGAGATCGTGATATCAGTTCAGGACTAAGCACTGTACAATCCTTAAAAGTCAAGTTCTAAAAAGCAACATGTAAGACATAAGAAATTACCATGATATATTGCTAAAAAAATAAAAGCACTTTACCAAGTCAGTACGATATTTTCTAATTTAATGTATGGACAGCAATGTTGTGAGTTGCATTAAATTGAGAGGACTGATGAAGAAACTGCTTCGCAAGGTTTGCAAGGCTGCACCCTTGCAGAAGCGAATGATTGCTCCTATCTGTTGAGGGCTCCTCGGCAGGTTTCAACAACCAATCTTTTGGCTCGTAGTCAGACACTTAACCATTTTTGTCACAGGTGAAGATTTTTATCTGTGTGTATATGTGTCTGTGTGTGTGCGTGTGTGTGTGTGACATCCCTGGGTGGTACAAATGATGTGTGCGTTCATCAGATAACTGAAAAGTGATAGGTTAAAGTCTACCTGTAGGCAACTCAGAACAAATTCCTGTGATCTACTTCTGAACATTCAGCCTCTCAGAAGCCTACTCTTACACATATGGGGCTCCTGCCATGAGTTAGGATTGAAATGGCAGAGTGGTGGTAGTGCTGTGGGATAAATGTTACATTGTTAAGTACAAAATAGTCATTTCCTCTAGTTCCTAAATGCTTCCTCCCCCTCCCCACTATCATGATCCGAATTATACCTTGCAAGTCTGGCTAGACCAGAGGCTGTACACTGGTACAGATAGGAACTGGAAACACAGGGAATCCAGGGTGGATGATCCCTTCAGGATTAGTGGTGTGAGTGGCGATACTGGGAGGGCGGAGGGAGGGTGGGTTGGAAAGGGGGAACTGATTACAAGGATCTACATGTGACCGCCTCCCTGGGGGACGGAAAACAGAAAAGTGGGTGAAGGGAGATGTTTGAGAGGGCAAGATGTGACAAAATAATAATTTATAAATGATTAAGGGCTCATGAGGGAGGGAGGAGCGGGGAGGGAAGGGGAAAAAATGAGGACCTGATACCAGGGGCTTAAGTGGAAAGCAGTGTTTTGAGAATGGTGAGGACAATGAATGTACAAATGTGCTTTACATAATTGATGTATGTATGGATTGTGATAAGAGTTGTATGAGCCCCTAATAAAATGATTTTTTTAAAAATAGTCATTTCAAACCCACAAGCTCCTCTATAGGAAAAGCATGAGGCTGTTTGCTCCCATACAGATTTCTCGTCTCAGCAGCCCTATACAGAGTCACTACGCGTTGGTCTTGGCTCAATGGCAATGGTTATAGTTTTTTGGTTGGAAACTGTGAATAATTTGTTTATCTGTATATAAGCATACATCTTGTTTATCTGGACACACATGTATCTGTACACTGTAAAAAAAATCCTACTAGAAAGAAAGTACTATAATTTTTTACTAATTATTTCTGGATGGCTGGACTAGATACTTTATATATTTATTTAGATGTTTTTTAATGTTTCTGATCTTTTCCTCCCCTTTGACAATTTTTAATAATATTGTGTTGTCTCTCCAATAAAGGTTTAAACAGTAGTTGAATTTCAACAATTTCTACACAAGTTGTTCAGTGACATTGGCTACAATCTTCACAATGTGGGAACGTTCTCATTTTTGCAATTCTGTTTTTCCCATTTTATATTATTTATTTTTTGCTTTTGTGAGGAGAAAAACATTACATTTTAAAATTCACAAAACCCATTAATAATAAATGGTTCTCATTGTTAGCTGTTAAATGTATTATTGATAATAAGATATTTATTATGATTAAAATAATACATCATTTTAATCAAGGAAAGATTTCTACCCAAATCAAACTGTGTTTCTTTAATGGAGACCATTGATTGAACACAATGTTAAAAAAGGCTTTGTAGGTCAAACTCGTCACTTGAGAGTTTAAAATGACATTGGCATTGCTTAATGCCTCAACTGAACAAGGTTTATGCGGACTTGGTCACGAAAAGTGGTTTTTCACAAAGCATGTAACTCAAAAAGGAAAATCTAATCTGCCTCTTGGAGAAAGTGGCCAGGGAAAAGGTGAGAGCGGGTAACTTGAGTCCTGGTTTAGGAAACTCTGCAAGGTGACACCTTGAAATTTTCAGGAGAAAAGGCGTTGTTCACACTCAAAGGGGGCTATGAATTAAACTCCATTCACACTGCTTGAATGGCACTAGAATAAAAACAAAAAGCCTAAATTGGGCTCCTTCATCTACACAGAAATATTTGGGTGTGCTCATCCAGCTGCTGAAACACAGCATCATCTCCCACTTCAGAGCAGACCGGCTATGTCTCAGCTACAGTTATTTTTAAAGGCACATATGTAGAGAAGTGTATGTCTCATCAAATGTAAAGACACCCACAATGAACTTTTGATGGGCCTACCCCCTCTTTTTTTTTCATTTTGAGTGTCTAGGGAATTTAAATTCTTTTAAAACAACTACTGCATACTTGATGACTTTAATATTTTAAATACTATCTCAAGTTTTCCTGAGAAGATTATCAAGTCTTTAGTCTAATTACTTCTCTGTGTGTGTGTTTTTGTGGGGAAAAAAAAGTAAATAATTATATCTCCTGCTAGGAAGCTGTGATCTTAAAAGTAGAGGTTACCTAAGTGAGCCATTGATTTGTAGACTGAATGATACCCTCCTTACACTTTCAGATGTGCTAAATGTCATGGCTGTAGGACCGCAGATGCCTTGAGAGTACACAAAGACCCTCATAGATTGCTTCCTCATTTATCTGAATATTTTAAGTAGAGTTTTCCTAAATCAAGTTGGGTGGGCTTCCAGTTTCCAACCTTTGTAGTGGATTGCTATAAATTGATAAGTTGCCCAATGAAACATGTAGCAACAAGGAGGAGAATATATTGCCCAAAATAATATACTGAAAGCAAGCAAGAAAACCCTTACCTCTGTCTCAGCACATAAGCTGGGTCTCCCCGATATTTAGAGTTTATTAACTCTCCCATTTATTAATTATTTGCCTATTGCTCAAAGGAGACTTTCGCTGTTGAAAAGATGTATGCCAATATACTGATGATGTTATCTATGGCTGCATAATACATTTAGCATCATGTAGCAACCACGGCTTCCCTGTCTCTCACAACTCGGTGCGTCAGACGTTTGCACAGGGCTTGCAACTGGATGATTCTTCTGCTCTGGGTGGCATCAGGCTAGGCCTCTCAGTGATATTCAGGGAGCTGATGAGTTGGTCTGGAAAGTCCAGAAGAATTGCACTGGCATTTCTGGTGCCTGGGCATGCTAGAAGGCCAGTTCCCTGGGATTATCAACTAGAGAGCCTTATGAGGCTTCTCTCCCACATGTCTGTCTCTGGTAGAAAGCCTTCTTAATACCTGGGCTTGCAAACTGGCACAATGCTAAACCAAGAGAAAAACCAACCCATTGCCACCAAGTTGATTCCAACGCCTAGAGATGGCATGTTACATAATATAAAAGGGTTCCATAGGGCAGTGATCTTTACCAGAGCAGAACACAGCACCATCACTCAGTGGGCTCAAACCGGCTGCCTTTCAGTTAATAGTGCAGTGCAAACTGTTTATGTCACCGAGGACCCAACACTCCATTTTTCTGCCTTACTTCATTAGTCACGGTGGTCACAGAACTCCCCCAAATTTTTGGAGCAGGACAAAGCTTCCATCTCAATGATGGAAATGTAAAATAGCTGATGGCCAATGTATGCCAACGAACCTTTTATTTTAATATTTATTTCCAAAAGTGTACATATTAGAAAATATGACACCATACACAATCTGTTTTCAAGTCAGAGAATTTTGCATAGGAAATAGATTACATGATTTAAGGTTAATAACATGATAATACTAGAATGTGGATATAGGTAAAATCATAATAAAAGTGAGGGCATAAAGACCCCAAAAACTGCATTTCTCGGTATTTGAAGTAGTCACTCACTACTATGGCGTCAATTCTGATGCACAGTGACCCTGGAGGACAGCATGGACCTGCCCTGATTTTCAAGATTTAGTCCCATAAGTCTTTATGGGAATAAGAAAACAAAATATGTCTTTCTTCGGTGGAGCCGCTGGTGGGTTCAAACTGCTGACCTTCTGGTTAGCAACCCAGTGCAAATCACTTTGGATTGCCTAATGTAATCCCTTATATTTTACAAAGAAGATGTGAGGCGCATCGGTTTAAATAAGAACTAGCGTTTCTCTATTTCACTCACTGCTCTTTATTCTTGCTAACAGCCCAGTACCAACTATTGCCTGGCGACGAACAGATGGAAAGCCGATAGCAAGGAAAGTCCGAAGACACAAGTCCAACGGGACTCTTGAAATCCCCAACTTTCAGCAGGAGGATGCTGGGTCATATGAATGTGTGGCTGAAAACTCACGAGGGAAAAACGTAGCAAAGGGACAGTTGACTTTTTATGGTAAGTGTGTGACTCACATCAGTAGGGTGGGTGCTGCTGAAATTGTTGAGACTAAAAATAAGCTGGAAGATCAGAGATCATCAGGGTTTCATAGAGGGATTGTGTGTAAGATCACTGTGCAGACCTTTGCTTTACTATCTAATTGTCATTCTCTAAGTAATTCTGGGTGTGGAGAGTGAAGGGGAGGAGGGGGCTAGGTGGTTGACAGAGCAGTGAGGAAGAAATTAGGCTGATGTGTTTGGGGATGGTTATTACTGGAACCAGACTTACAAGAGAACCTCTTTTTCTTTCAACCTGACAGGAAACATTTTGGGTTTTCCTGCTCTTGATTTATATTTTAAAACTCTGTCCTTTTTTCATGAAGAGTTTCATTTGGGGCTAGTGTTAATCTATTCTAATAGTTCCTATTTGGTAGTGAGTTAATGTGGTATAATGAACATTTCAAAAACCACACTATCCAAATTCAGTTCTTATCAAAGTGAAGCATGACAAATCTTTCTCACCTCGAAGACTTTTTCTGTGCAGCTGCTCCTATTCCAATCAAATCATGGGCATTGATCCAAATATTATATAAATGTAAACCCTCTAGCATGTGGTCTTCAATTAAGCCTATCTTGGAAATGCTACTGAGCTAGGTTAAAATGTAATACTGATTAATATCATTTAATTTCCCTTTTGATCCATTTTCAAGTTGGTTCAGTTTTTAATATTTTCTGCTTTATTTTCAGTTGATGTTTTTCTATGTTTTGTTTAGTCATTGCTCAAGGGTTTTTGTTTGCTTGCTCGCTTGCTGTTTGCATTATGTATGATTTTCAGTATATTAAATCCAGGATAGGTATACTACCGAGGGTCATGCATGGGAGAATTGGGGGCAGGGGTGAGGTGGGGAATGGGGAGCTAACAATAATGAGGATATTTCAGGAAATGTCCTGAAAATGATTGTAGTGATGATGGCACTCTTTTTAATATGACTGAATGATTAAATTGTGATGTGTGAATTATATGCCAATAAAACTGTAAAAGAAAAGACTGAGAAATTGAGAATGTCAGATTTACCAAGAGGTGTTTTTTTTTTTTAACTATTAGAGTTTGTTTTTCCTTACCCAAGAAATAGTAATTTTGTAGATGTCTGATATGGTCAACCTGAAAACATTCAGAGTTGGTTATCTTGTTGTCAGTTGAATGCAGTGTTGTTAGGTGCCATAGCGGCCCTGTGTAGGAAACAAAGACCTCAGAAGAAAACACTGCCAGGTCCGGCACCGTCCTTGCAATTGTTGTTATTTGATGTTTCTTCGACTTTTTATTTCAGTCATTTTAATCCTAATACACAGAACTCACTGCCATCGAGTTGGTTCTGACTTACAGAGAGCCTCTGGGACCGGTAGACGGTTGATGTAGGTGTCCATGATTGTAACTACTTATGGAAGCAATGCCTGTTCCTTCTCCCACAGAGCCGCTGGTGGTTTTTAACTGCTAAACTGGCAGGTAACAGCCCCAGGCGCAGCCCACTACTTTTAATCCTGTAGTGATTATTTCAGAATGTTATTCTAGTTGCTCAACTAATTGAGTAAAAGTCAGTTTCGCTTTCATGATTTCCTTTAATTAAAATGACTGTTTTCAGACCATTGAAGAAATCTGAACTTTTCTGTCACCAGAGATGGGCATAGCTATTCAAGCACTTTCCATCTGGGCAGAGGATTTTTGTCCTGAAAGAACGAACATTCCATCGCTCTTGTTATGGGGAATAACACTTGTCCCTGGCCCCCAACCTTGCACAGTAGAGTGGTTTATTTTGCAGGGATCCTGCCCTGGAGATGGAAATCAAGTGCTAATGGTTTCTCTTTCAAATGGAGTTATCTGCAGCCTGGCTTGGGGGAAAGAGCCAAATGAAATGTGCATGCTTTCTGAGGATAACTCGGTTTTACCTCAGTTGTCAACCACCCTTGGTGTTAGAAACTTGTCACATCTATTGACTTCATAGCACTTGGCTGCTGCATGTACGTTTATTCCTTTGTTTTTACTCAGCCAGCACATCAGTGACACAGGAATTGTGGAATTGTTTTCATTGTCACAGGGGAGCTCAATTATAAATGCTACCCTCTCTTTCCCTCTCACTTTTTAGTCTCCATTGGGTTTTCCCAGTTCTGTGTTCTGCACTCCCAACTCCCTTGATCTCCAATTTAAATGCATTATCACTACAATCAGTGCGAAGATTACAAAAAGGGAGAATATCCATAGTCACTGATCCATGAAATGTCTGTCTTTGTTGACAAGTGAATTTCTTACAACTTTGTCATATGTTAGGAGTATGTATTATAACCCTGGGTTTTGTTATTCACTGAAAGCTGATGTCACTAGACGTTTCTTCCTGGGAGAAAAACATGTAAGCACCTCCGGAGTGGTTTGCCACTACATCAGGCAAAATGAAAAGAGAGTAAGCAGAGCAAAAATGTACTATGCTCCAAGCACATAGCAGGTTGCCTCACATTTTGAAGAAGACTCCAACATCTGGGATTAAGATGCTGGATCTTACAGGAGTTGGCTCTCCAGACCCCACTGGCTCCCCTCAGACCCCCTGCTGCTCCGTGTTGGGATGAATCATCCAGACATCGCCAATGCTGTGGATCGTGGGAGGCTATTTCGTATAGGTCATCCAGACCTCTAGCTGACCTTGATAGATTTGAGTTTAGAAACTTGCTTCTCTTGTGGGGTTCCAAGCTGCTGCATCCCATGCAACTTTCCACTTAAAAAAAATCTCAGGGTGTAAACTCCTGTTTCTAGCTTGAAAAAAATGGCGAAATTGTCCTTTCTTACATTAGTTCCTTTGTCAGCTGGCTGTGACTTGACTGTCCCTTCCTCTGTATTTCAGAATTATGGAACTCCCTAAGTCCAGCGATGCTTTAGGTTGACATGTGGTGCTCATTCTTAGGCTCAGGCAAAGAAATGATCCAAGTTCACGCAAGAATATTTTCACCTGACTGCATCCCCCTAATTTTTTGTTTGTTTCTTCACATATAAAATGTTTAAAAAATGCCATCTAAACATAAATTACATAAAACATTTTTTATCACCCAAAACAATAATAATGTGTGGTTTCTCATGTGGGTAATACCTCGGTTCTTGGCTTTGTATAAGAACAAATTCACTCCAAAGTCCGTTTGTAATGCAAGTGGGATTTTTTTTTT